TGAAGTCGTTCCCCTTTATTTCATGATGGTGTCTTAGATGTACTTTAAAAGAGAATTTCACACTATTCTCTTTGTTTAATGTGACAGTGTGAGAAAGTGATCTTTATTCGTTCAAAAAACTCTGCATGTAGTCTATGTTTAGGTTCTTTTAATGTGTTTGTCTGTGATTTTTAAATGCTAAACATGTAAACAGATAAATTGTCAATGTTAATTCTGTATACTGTCACACAACTGATCTTTCTTTCCTGCCATTTCTTTCCTTTTTATCTTTTTTTTGTGCATTCATGTTGCAGTTGATAAAATTACGTGAAGAGGTGAGTACTTTCTAGCTTCCTTTTTTCTTTTTAATTCTATCTTTTCTTGTAAAATTGACGTTCATATCTGAAGTGAATCATTGCCTTCATTTTTCTAGGGAAATCTGCACCTAGCAAAACAACTGACCTTTGGCTCAGAAAGCTTCTCCACTGCCCTGTGTGTGTGTGTGTGTGTGTGTGTGTGTGTGTGTGTGTCTGTCTGTCTGTCTGTCTGTCTGTCTCTCTTTATATATATGTGTGTGTGTGTCTGTGTGTCTATGTCTGTGTCTGTGTGTATATATGTATACACATATATATAAACAAAATAAACAACACACACACACTCTTAAAACCTGTATTCTAATCATGCATATCACAGGATTTGTTTTTTTATTTTACTGACATTGAGTTAAAATTATATTTTAAAGACAAAAAAGGAAGAATGACAAAAGAACATCTTAAAATGATACTGTTTTACTGTAAATTTGTGTAGTTTATATTGGTTTCTCAAAGAAGTTAATGTGATTAAATTTTTTTGTGAGATTGTTTTACTTTACTGGAAGCTGTTCTCCACCTCTTTTCCCTCCCCCACATTCGTATGTTGCACCTAAGACACTGTTCTTTGGTGAAAACACACATGTGTCCCTGCTTGTCTGTGTGTGCAGGTAACTCAGAACAGCCAAAGCTCACGTCATTGTTAAAACAGCACCCCAGTGGGCTCTCCATTTTCTGAGTTTACTAGTCAGTTTCATGATACAGTTCCGGAGTTTTTTGTGGCCCAGTAAATATTTACAGCATGTTAATGATTTTATCCCCATGTCACTGAAAGATGTGGAATGATGCTGTTTATGGTTTGAGTTTGTTTTTTTTTTTTTAATGAGGCGTCATATATCTAATATGCTTTGGTACTTTTTTCTCAATGATAAAGTAGCTAAATTTTTTCTTATTTAGTAAGGTGCTTTGTTATTTTCCTATTAGGACATAAAAATGGACCATATTGACATTTAAAATTGCTTATAATAATCAGAATACTATGAATTAGTTCAGATTTCATTTGCCTGGAATCAGTTTTAATTGGTATGTCATCATTCTCTGGATGATGCATATGTTAATTTAGGGGCTTGTGAATAGTAGTTTTCTGCCACCCTTCTTATTTAAGATGTATTAGTGATATCTTTTCTTAGTAAAAGTAAAAATGCCATATAAACAAAAATAAAAATAAAATACACAAACACCTTATTCTAATCTTCTTGTGTTTTCTACACAGAAGCAGATAAATAAAGTAAAACAGGTGTCATTTTGGCATAAAATATTATTCTTTGGGTGAGTGAGAGATATATCAACATTATTTTCCTATAAGATAGTATATCTATTTTTAATATTCCCAAATGCTCACATTTAGGAGAAGAATCAGAATTCACAAATGTTGACAAAACTAATAGTAGAGTTTAAACTCTTCATATAAAGGAAATACACAAAGCTCTTGTTGCTGAATCTAAGTAATGAAAACAAAATCTTGTGCTGTGTTATAAACAGCATTTTTGTCAAATTTTTGTTAAGTTGAATGATATGGAATTAGATATCTTAATTCAAAAAGCCCAAAACAACTATGCATGTCTTTTAGAATGTATTATTGTTTGATGGCTTAATTTTGTGTGGTGTCTGTAGCAATGCAACGGTTTCATTTATTATGGTTTTAGAGTTGATGTTTCCAAAACAGTGTCCTATAATGGAATTACAATTAGAAGAACTAACTAATAGAATGATATACTGTGAAATATAATTCTGTCTATCCTTTGATATAGATGTAAGCATAGACATTTCTAGGCTAGATTATGGGGTGACACTGAATTGGCATACGAGTTGCTTAGAAGTGATTGTCTCTGAATCAGGATTTTCATAGTAATTGTTACTCGAGATTTCTTTCTTGCACCTATGCTAAGAAGACAAGCACCCATATGTTTCCAAAGCCAATGTTTCTTTGGGTTTGGAAACAGTATGCTGGCATCTCTTCCTCCTGATACTCTTCTCCAGGCATGCTTGGAGGCAGGCTTGTGGTACAGAGGGAGCTGATCTGGTGTTGGCTGTGCCGAGCTGTTTGAATCCTGCCTCTCCAGCTCCCCACTTCGCACAGCTCCTCATACTAGTTGAGCTCCGTCTGAAGCTTCTGCACAGCTTCACTTACCTGCTTTGAAAAGGGCTGCGAAGAGGGGTGAGAGAATGAGTTTGGGATGGAGTGTGGGGGCAAGTTGAAAGCATCAGCTGCTGTGGTAGCGTATTTCCTTTCATTGACAGCGACCAGGGCAATGCACCACTAAGGGAACAATGTAAATAGCACAGCTGTTACAAGAACTTGATTTTAGTTTGACTTAAGTGAAGAGGTTCCGAAATACAAAGTGAAATCCTGCTGAAAAGCAGCTGGTAAACCGACATTCCTCTGTGGCTCATTTGCTCTCAGATAGTCGAACCCCCTGGAAGAATCAGTTACTTCTTATTTTGGAATCTGCATTAAAAAATATTTTCTAGAAAATTTTCTACTGTGTATGAGCTGTGGTATCCCCCAAATTATTCTACATTTAAATGCTTTCCCACACTATATATTAGCATAGCTTTCTTTTCTATTTAATGTATTAGTATATAAGTAGCATGACCATTTTTAATATTGGTCTAGCTTTTTTTAAAGTCTATTTTAGCTAAATGTTTTCTTTTAATTTGAGATTTTATCCAATGTGAAAATAAAGTAAAAATTCTGTTCCTTTAGTCTGGATGAAAATTCAGATTTTCTCCTGCTTTTTTAGATCTGATTGATACCTTTTTTAGAAACTTGCCAATTTGAAGTTAATTCCATTGTTTAGGTAGAAAACAGTATTCAAAGGAGTGAAGGGCAGTCCTTACTTCTAGAACCTACATATAGGGAGTTAGGAAATTGAAAGCTATTTTTGACAAGCTTAGTAGTACTTAATTTTACTTAAAAATGACCAGCAATGCCATTCATAGAGAGCTCCTTTGCTCTTATTTGCTCGGTTATAACTCTCAGTGGTTTTGATTTTCTATGATAGAAGAAGCACTTCTTCCTTTTTATTTATTTTTTTATTTTTTGCAGAATGAGAAGGGGAATATTTCTCTTAATTTCTCTACTGAATATTAGACAACTCTATTAATTATTATAGACTGTTATTGTAGCTTCCTGACCTTCACATTAGGTCCTGTCTCTCTGTTCTAAATGCATTGTTTTAATGATTCTTTTCCCCCATCGCTCCCCCCCAAAAAAATTTTTTTCAAGGAAAGCTTTGATGTGGCTTTAGCTGCCTCTAACGTCTGGCCGCATCTCAGATGTGTCACCTATGCCGGGAGGGAATAAGGAAATCACGTTTTGAATGGTAATGATAACATACTAATCACTTCCTTTCTTTGAAGATGGAAGCGAGATATTCTGTCAGCATCCCTGGCTGCGAGAGCTTGGAGGCACTGGTCTAGGTGTATTAGCTTAAGTGTGCATGTCAATACAGCTTGCATCTCCAAGATCCATGGGGGCTCATTAGAGCAACGTGGATCATTTCACTCCACAGCCACTCAGATAATGCGTGTGGCACCTCCTTTTTTATTAGTATTAGAAAGCATTTTTTCTATTTTAAGTGACATCTGTCAACAACATAACACAAAGTTGTAGGGGTTGTGGTTGCATTTTTCTTTTCTTTTTTTTGACCAGACACCAAAATTGATTTGAGGAAGGGCGATATTAGTCTATACAAATACATGTCTATACCAACATACATACAATTATACAGACACACATATTCATACATTTTTAAGCATTGAGACCTATATATATATAACATGCATGTATTCTTATTCACAGCAATGTTTAGCTTCTAAATTTATTTTAGGAACCTAAATAGGTATATGGTTAAACATGTGAAAAGTCTTAATGTCGGAAAGAACGTTTTGAAGCTGAAAATTGGGGAGAGATCCTCTCTTTTCCCCTGAAAATATAATATAAGTGTATATAATCATTGTAATCTTAGTTCACAGTATCAAAAGTCCACCTTTAACCTAGTGTTGTATATTGGGAATGAATCCACAATCTTGTGCATCTTTGTGATTGGACAAACGTGTCTCTTGTTTCTTAGTGGGTCATCTTAAAAGTTAAAACTGTTTAACACCTCTATTTCAGAGGCTATGTGGCTCTCTTTGGCACCTCGCTGCACATCCAATATGAAAGAGCATTCTCTCAAAAGCAAAAATGACTATCTTCAGGAATTAAAGGAACAAGTGGGTTTTTGAAATGATTGCATTTTATTAAAAACACACACACACACACAATAAGGATATAGATCTGTGCCAGAATCTCATCTCTGCTGAGACCAAAAAGATGCACTTGGCTGTGGTCTTGGTACATTTCTCAGGATTTTGGAGTAGCATTCATTGTGGTCACTTACACCATGAGTCTCCTCTAAAACAACAACCCCCCCAAAAAGTCGATGGTATATTGTATCCTAAATTGGTTGAAATCCATCCATTGTCATGATTCTGTAATGAAAGAGTTGCTAAAAATTAACAATAGTGGATGGCAGGAACTCACCCCCCCCCCCCCCGCCCCACCATACACATACAAATGTTAGTGCATACAAAGGCATTTTTTTAAGACAAAAAAGAGAACATTGTAGACGGCCGTGTGATTTTTTTCCCCCTCTTTTTCTTTTTCAGAGGGCACATCTGCTCGATAACACAGAGAGGCTGGAAAGGTCATCTCGGAGACTAGAGGCTGGGTACCAAATAGCAGTGGAAACCGGTAAGAATTCTGGGAGTGAGCAAATTGTCTTGCTTATGCACAGCAGTCTTCACAACACATGACATTTCAGGGAAACTTCAAAGGAGTAGCAGAGACAGCAGCTCGAGATGTGGTTTACATATTGGGGAGACAATTGGGAGCTTATTTGCGCTTATCTTTTTTCAAGTTAAAAGGCATGACATCTACTGAAAACAGTTCCTGAGGTTTAAAAGTATACATCTGAAAAGAGATGGAATACTTTGTCTAAATTCTACATTTGTCTTAATATGCAGTTACATGTTGTCAGTTTACCCACCCGCAATGGTGGCTAGACGCCAAGCAGTCTCCAGTTGTTGGCTCCTTTACATTTTATTCACATATGTAAAAATTAACATTTTAATCAACCTAAATGGTGTGAGCTGGGGACAAAGAATACGTAAAACCGGTGTCACTTTGCTTATTTTTCCTTTTGTTGGAAAGGGTTGCTAATAATCTGTATTTTAAAAAGAACCTATAATCAAATATACCATCGTAAACATTAATGATAATGTTTATAATAATCTTATTATAGCATTAGTTGACACTGTTCAAACTTTTGGTTGGAATTGGCAGTGGTCATTAATTTCAGGAAACACAGTCCTGATTTTTCTTATAGTAGTCTATTTAAGATACACAGCTTTTTAATTGTAGCTATTTAATGCAATGTATATTTTTACATGGTGAGCAAATATCCATTAACATCTTAGTAATTATCAGATTATTATTCTTTAGCTGTGCCTTTTGTCTTATAAAGTATAGATGTAAATTATGTATTTCATATATTTTAAATAGCTCTTGCCCAAGATATAAACCACAAAAATAGGTGATCAACAAATTTTTCTTCAGTTTTTTTTTAATTTTTTAGTGTGAAATGTTGGTTTTTAAAAGCATAGTAGATATGATTCCAAATAATTTCTCTTATGAAAAGCCACTGTACTTCTTGCCCTTGGTTCCTAACTATCCTAAATTGGTTGGTTTATATGATGAATTTTAGGCAGCTAAAAAGAAAGAATGCAGATGACTCTGTCATATTATTGGTGAGAAAATGGAAGTAGAACACAAATCACAGGTTTTTCATACCACAGGCTGTTCTTCCTGATGTTGATAGATTAGTTTAACTTGACTGGGATAAAAGCCACGTTTGATAGGTTCTTGTGGTTTGGTGGCTCACCTGCAATGGTGACCCCAGTAAAGAATGTGAATAACGGAAAGAACCTTGAACACAAAGTCAGAAGACTAGGCTCAAGTTTTAGCTCTTGTTTGTGTAATCCTGAGCAAATCATAGAACCTCTCTGAGACTTAGTTTCTTCTTCAGTAAAATGGAAATAATCCTGCCCTTCTCAGAATGTTTTTAACAAAGGATGGCATGTGTGAAAGTGTTTTACATATCATTAAATGCAAACATAGGTGTGTGATGAATGTATTGTCATTTTATGATATACAATTATTACCACATAGAAAATTTTTAAGCTGCAAGTGAAATTTGTGTAAAGGAATAGAAAAAAATGTGTTATGGTAATCCTTGAGTAATTCAGCACTTTCTCTATTGAACACTAGAGTCATTAAGAAAACTTTCCCTCATAAAACATTCACTGAAAAGCTTCTTTCTACATAGGACCAGTTTGGACTTGTGGGTGGAGTATTCTTGCTGATCTCAAAGCATGGTTTGGTTGATGGAGCACAATTTATTTTATAGTTACACTATTTATGTAGTTCTTTCCCAAAGCCAAAGGAAGTCTTCAGAGATGATCACATATATCAAAAAACCATGCATTGACATTGGTTATAAGACTGGATAGGATTTGTTAGTTATTCTTTTTGGTATGTGAATACAGTGGTGTGTGGAATGTAATGGTAGATTGACTCAAGTTTTATAAAAAACAGATATTTATTTGTCATATAAAGCTAGAAACTTCTGACAGACTATAAAACCAAAGTCTTGGAGGAAGAATAGGAAGAGACCTCTTGCAAGTTAAAGACAGATACGGTAATGCCTCTGCCTACCTACACAGAAGACATCATGCTAATTCATTTCCTTCAATGACTTTGAAAGGGGAGTGAGAAGTGTAAGACAGAGTATTTTCCCTTGTTCTTACTTCTTACTGAAGCAATGTGGAAACAATCGTGGTGGGCAGCATGTTGCTCCTGTATTTCTCATATCTCTGTTAGCACCATAATCGTGCTCAGTTGATCTGTAGTTTGTGTTTTGATTGTATGTAAATTTGTGATACTTATCATTTTGTTTGAGTAGCAGTACAAGAACAGCCTCTTATTGCATCTTTCAAAAGGGAAGTGGCTTGTTTTCTTTTTTTAACCTCATTGGGGATTGACCCAGACTCTCATCTATACTAAACAAGTGCCCCTTCTTCTGAGCTCTATCTCCATCTCTCAAAAGGAAAAAAAAATGTAATACTTAGTAGATTTTACTTCTTAAAAGATGAAGAAATAGGGCTGGGAAGTTGGCTCAGTGGTAGAGCGCTTGCCTTGCATGCCCGAGGCCCTGGGTTCGATTCCTCAGCACCACATAAGCAAAAAGAAAAAAGCTGGAAGTGGCGCTGTGGCTCAAGTGGTAGAGCACTAGCCTTGAGCTGAAGAGCTGAGGGACAGCACTCAGGCCCAGAGTTCAGGCCCCACGACCAGACCCAAAAAAAAAAAAAAAAAAGATGAAGAAATACAGGGAGAAAAGGATATGGAAGAACTAATCTAACTGTCGAAATAACACAAAAGAGGGAAATCGTTTCCAACTATTTATACGATGAATTCTAGGGAACTAAAAAGAAAGAATGGATTGAGAAATAGTTCAAGTCCACAAAAGTTTTCATCCTTCTATAGCAGAATGAGAAAAGCAGTAGAATGTAGTGTCTTTTCCAAAGTATTTTTTACTATTCAAGAGCTATATTTTTTTTCTGTGATGGTACAGTAACAATTGTAGGTAGAAGTTTTGTATATAATTTTCTTTGAAAAAAAATTACAGGAGTTGCTACCCTATTTTGGGCTGTCTGGATTGCTTTTTGTGATTTTCTTTTTACTTGAGCACAAAATCTAGGATTCACTAATTGGATGTATTGAATTGGGGAGATGAATTCCCAATCATCTGATACTGTCATTATTTTAGCTGAGTGAATTTGAAAAAATCACTTAAATTCTCTCATTTACAAAGCAAAAACTTGAAATTGAAGTCTTATCTCTCCAACAAAGTTGTTAAGTAAAGTAAGGTTTTACATCTATCTGTCTATCTATATGTATATATATATATTATATATGTGTGTGTGTGTTGTCTGTATGTATGTATTTAGACACATTTATATACATGTATATGTAGTTATTAAATCATCAGAAAAAGTATTTAACTTTCAAAATAATTGGCAGAAATTTTAACAAAATATGTAACTTACTAGTGTTAATTTGATTGCCATAATAGATAAATACCACAAAGGAAAGTAAAAAAAGAAAAAAGAAAATAGAATTGAATATTATTTTGACCATCTGTGGCTTCCTAACAAATAATGCAATTCATCTTCTAAAATTCTTAAATCATTTTTAAACATTTTAAAGTTATCTTGTCAAATAAGTAGTTAGTGTCTCTTCAAGAACTGTTGAGCAGAGTAACATGTGCATAAATATTTTTAGTGCTATTTATAGTCTAATATGCATTGAGTTTAATACCAATCAAGTGCCTTTCATGGATCCTTTTCTATTTGAGAACTTGATGAAATTACAGGTCAATTAAACAACTTCATTTAGTAAAGAAGAGACTGAAATCTGATATTATATAAAGAGTTGATGCTACTAGAAAGCCGGTTATCAGACTCTTCAAAGAAACATCTTTGGAAGTGACCATTATGGGCCAAATGCTGTGCTGATTGCATGGGACCTTGGCCAATTTGACATCTCTCCTAAGTTCTGCTCTGGAATTTTTGAATTCAAAAAACAGAAAAGGAAAGAAGACTCCCCCCTCCCCCCCCCCCAACACACACACATACTTAAAGGCAAGTATGACTGTTTGGCTGTAGAAATAATCATTTTGCTTGCAATCACAATTTAATGCCTAATACTCTGAGTTATGAGCCCTTTATTCTGAAATTATGGACTTTTGGGGCATATCCCAGAATTATAATAAGCACAAAACCACTTGAAGGTGTATGATTAGTAAAAAAAATACGCTGAAAGAGAAACTATGAGGGGACAGAAATGAAGCTCATTTTTTTCCTTTCCATGTGTAATAAACAGTTTAAAACCCACAGGAATGTCCCACCTGGGCTCCAAATGGGCTCAAGTCAGCTGGCAGTGCATTCCAGGAGCTATGAGTGAATTTGCCTACATTCTGTAATCTCAGGTCATGAGGTTATGGCTTGTATCGTTTATTGGTCTTCAACCCTCCATCCTGACACCCCCAACCTTAACACTCTTATTTCAGTAGTTGCTGTAGATCATTTAGCCTTGACTTCCCATTTGGCAGTTAATGTCTTGACAACACGGTGCTAATACTTCCTGAACTCTTTGTAGTGAAAATGAGGTGTTCTGTTCTTCGTTTTTTGTGTACTAGTGAAATGATACAATGTTTATCAAACATTAAATATGAGCCGCACACTGTTCTCCCTGCTCTATGTTCTTATCTCTTAATCCTCATTACATGCCTTTTGCAGAGGAGATGAGAAGGAGAGATCACGTCATTTTCCCATACTAGAAGTAGTATAGTTAGGCCATCTGATTCCATATTTTTAGCCAATAGACCGCACTAAAATAAGAATGGTTTCCACATACCTGGATTTCCCAGGGATCTGTTCTAGGCAAAATAGGCTACATTCTCATATTAATTAATTTTCTTTTTCTCTGATTTATTTAAAAGTTATTGGAAGTTCTTGGCCAGGTGCTCTGAGATTAGCATGAAGAGCAAAAGAGGTAAGATGCCTATTCTAAGGCACAGAGAAGGAAGAGATGGAAAAGAATAGTCTGGCAATTTTTAATTAATACATAAATGG